TGACACTGAACTCCCCCACTAGGACTCCGCTTTCTTTATCAAATGGTGTATTTTTTTTTTTTTTTTTTTTTTTTTTTGAGGCAGAGTCTCGCTCTGTCACCCAGACTGCAGTGCAATGGCCTGATCCCGGCTCACTGCAACCTCTGCCTCCCGGGTTCAAGCAATTATCACACCTCAGCCTACTGAGTAGCTGGGATTACAGGTGCCTGTCATCATGCCTAGCTAATTTATGTATTTTTTGTAGAGATGGGGTTTCACCATGTTGCCCAGGCTGGTCTTGAACTTCTGACCTCAGGTGATCCACCTGCCTCGGCCTCCCAAAGTGCTGGGATTACAGGTGTGGGCCACCGCACCCGGCCCCAAATGCTTGAGTAGGGTATGCTCGATTACCTTTTACAAGACAGACTCACATGATTTTCCAGTCTTCAGCAAGAATGTGGAGACAAATGTTACTCCATCTTGGATGCCAATCCACCATGTTTACTTCTGATTAGCACCAGTCCTGTAAATGCCTCCAATTCCTCCTTTGCCATCCCTAGTTTAAAAGCTTGTCAGCTTTTACATAATTGCACAAATTAGATGATGATGCATATAGCATTCTTGCCTGTTCTGTAGTTGCGTTCATCTTGCTGGAGCACTTTCCCTATGGTAAGCAAGCACTGGGTTGGAGAGCGACAGCATGGAGATTTATCTTGCTGCCACCCAAGGCCATGCTTATTTTTGAGACAATTTTGCTCTGTCACCCAGGGTGGAGTGCAGTGGCTTGATCTGGGCACACTGCAACCTCCACCTACTGGGTTCAAGCCATTTTCATGCCTCAGCCTCCCAAGTAGCTATGAGTACAGGCATACACCACTACATTCAATTAATTTTTATATTTTTAGTAGATGGGGTTTCACCATGCTGGCCTCAAACTCCTGACCTCAGGGGATCCACTCACCTTGGCCCCTCAGAGTGCTGGGATTATAGGCGTGAGCCACCACACCCAGCCTCATGTTTTGCTTCTACATTCCCCCAGTAAAGCACCCTTTACCAACAACTTTTGTCTGCCTTGTTCCTTGAGCATTTGGAGGTTTGCATACAAGGCTTTTTCTGGGAACAATGAGTAAATGGACATATCTATTTAAAAATAGACTCTTTCACAGCATATTAGAAATGTTTATTAATAATGGGATGAACTGCTTTTAACAATTTAGAAAAGACCCAGCCCCCACAGATCCGTGGCAGCTACTCTAAGTAAACACAAATATTCCCGTAGTAAACTGTATGCATATTCCCACTGAGTAAAGGTTGTAAGCAACCTCAGGTCAGGTCTTACCACCAAATTTGAAAACACTTGGAATGCAGTTGGGTAGGAACTTGGGCAGGTTTTGTCTTGACAAGCAGGTAAGAATGGTAGAACACTGGCTGTCGTCCAATATGCTTTTAAAAAAATATATACCTTAAGTATTCACAACTTACTTTAAAAAGCTCTTTACAAGTTCTACACCTCCACCCCCTCCCCCGACCCCCAATCCAGAATATGGAACAAGGGTGTGGAGCTGTGTAATGGACATAGTCCCATTCTAAACATTTTTTAATACTCCTAACCCCTAGGCCAGGCACAGTGGCTGACACCTGTAATCCCAGCACTTTGGGGGGCCAAGGCAGGTGGATCATCTGAGATCAGGAATTTGGGACCAGCCTGGCCAACATGGTGAAACCCCATCTCTAATATAAAAATTAGCTGTACATGGTGGCAGGCGTCTGTAATCCCAACTACTTGAGAGGATGAGGCATGAGAATTGCTTGAACCCAGAAGGCGGAGGTTTAAATGAGCCGAGATCATGCCACCGCATTCCAGCCTGGAAGACACCCTGTCTCTAAAAATAAAAACAAAACACACAAAAAAACGGCCAGGCGTGGTTGTTCACGCCTGTAATCTCAGCACTTTGGGAGGCCAAGGTGGGAAAATCACCTGAGGTCTGGAGTTCAAGACCAGCCTGACCAACATGGAGAAACCCCATCTCTACTAAAAATACATTAGCCAGGCGTGGTGGCACATGCCTGTAATCCCAGCCTCTTGGGAGGCTGAGGCAGGAGAATCACTTGAACCTGGGAGGCAGAGGTTGTGGTGAGCCGAGATCATGCCAAGGCATTCCAGCCTGGGCAAAAACAACAAAATTGCATCTCAAAAAAAAAAAAAAAAAATCCTCCTAACCGGTGAGATTGGTATTATTTCCATTTTATGGATGTTGAAATTGAGGCAGAGAAGAAATTAAACTAGAATGCAAGGATCTAAATAGTGATCTCTGCCTATGTGGGGTAAGAAGGGTGGGGCTTAGGACTTGAAAGCCTAAATGAAAACCAAAAGCCAATCTAAGAGATTTGGTGAATGGTTTAGAAAGACTTTTGGCAGACAAGATCCAGGGCTTGCAAGAGAAAGTACTCACAGGCCATGCATTTGGTCTTTGCAGGTCTTGGGATACATGTTCTCAAGGTACCTTAAGTGGTTGGGGGCTGGGTTTCTAGTCTCAGTGGGTTCTTGATAAACATGTGCATTAGCTGAATGCTGAAGACAAACCAAAGTGGGAGACCAACAAGCACTTTGTGGGGGGGGGGGAAGGGGTTGACCTCAAATCTGGATCTTTATTAGGGACTATGGCACTACAGAAAACCGTGGGCTCTTTTCCTTAGAGCAGATAGCAAGAGACTGGGACTCCCTGGGCTGGATGATCACAAATGATCACATTGTAAACACAACAGAGCAGAACAGGTTGACAAGCTGTTAAACAACAGGCCTACAAGGCCATTTTTAGTCTTTATTGATTCCACTTAGGGAGTCATTTTGTTGCAGGAATATTACTATGGATCTTACCTCAGCTGACATTGGGGTAAGAGGTACATTGCCATCCTGAGGCAGGGAGCAGAGGACCCCCTCCAATCCCCCAACCTATGAGGCCAACTCCCACCATCTTAGCTCCCCAAAGGCCCAGAACAGGATGCCTCCTCAGACCAAGTACCCACCTGGTGGGGTTAGCCACAATGCCCCATAACCTGGGCCTGGCTCAGTGGGTGAAGTCCAAGTTCCTGAGTCTCCATCCACCTGCCAAAGCAGATTCATGACTGTTTGGGTTAGAGGAAGAAGGAATATTGAGGCCTGTCACAACTAGCTGGGAAACTCAGGAAGCAGGCCTCCAGGACTAGAACTCATAATACAGGGCTCCACAACGCATGAGGGTGAAACAGGCAGCTAAGGACAATATTCTCGAGTTTGCAACTTGGTGGTAACTTGTCTCAATATTAACCAAGTGAAAGACATGAACACGAGGCTTATATCTTCCAAACTAGAACCAATGGAGGGATAATACCCATGGGACTCCAGTACAGCCACTAGAAAGAACCATGACTAAAGGGAGAACTGAGGAACTGAAGACCAGCTAGTTACAAAACCACCACCACCTTACCTCAAGACACACACACCCAAGATCAAATCCCCATGACTGAGAGCTTTGTCAACTCTTCTCAGTGGCTTTATATGCTTTATTCTGTTTAACCTAAACCTCCACAGAAAATGTAAAATGGGACGAGGCTGAATTTAAATGACTCACCCAACGTCAAACAGCTGGGAAGTTATTAGAGCCCCAACATAAATCTTGGCATCTGATCTCAGCATTCAGTTTTCAAACCAGGCCTCTCTTATGGCCCTCATACACAAAGATGAGTTCAGTGCACCTGTCCCCAACTCCCATCATTTCAGGGGAAGGAATGAACTGGTACCACTATCTATGATAGGATTTAGCTCACTCCATGAGATTAGGTGCTTACATTCTCAGAACAATCCTGTGAGGGTGCCCATCTAATGGCATCTCTAATGCTCAAGAGAAGCTAGGGAGATTCAGGCCCAAACAATTAGACAATGGGACCAAGAGACCAGCTTAGGAAACCCAATTCTAGCCAAAAGATTTCACCTATACCCACCACACCTCAGGCCTCAATGTACACCTAACCCTCTGGCAGTCCCTGCCCACGCACCAACCAAGTATTCTCCAAGCCTTTTTTTTGAGGAGTCTTGCTGTCACCCAGGCAGGAGTGTGATCTCAGCTCACTGCAACCTCCACCTCCTGGATTCAACTGCTTCTCCTGACTCAGCCTCCCAAGTAGCTGGGATTACCCATGCCCACCACCACATTTTGCCAACTTTTGTATTTTTAGTAGAGACATGTTGGCCAGGCTGGTCTTGAACTCCTTACCTCAGGTGATCTGCCAACCTCTGCCCCAATTTTTTTTTTTTTGAGACGGAGTTCCGCTCGTTACCCCAGGCTGAAGTGCAATGGTGTGATCTCAGCTCACCGCAACCTCCGCCTCCTGGGCTCAGGCAATTCTCCTGCCTCAGCCTCCTGAGTAGCTGGGATTACGGGCACGCGCCACCATGCCCAGCTAATTTTTTTGTATTTTTAGTAGAGACGGGGTTTCACTATGTTGACCAGGATGGTCTCGATCTCTTGACCTCGTGATCCACCCGCCTCGGCCTCCCAAAGTGCTGGGATTACAGGCTTGAGCTACCACGCCCGGCTCTGCCCCCATTTTTAATTTGCAAAGTGGTCTGAGTAAGAAAAAAAGCAGTCTATTTTCAGGTTCATCTTTTTAATAAGCTCTGTGAAGGACATCCTAAACACTATATGAGACACAACAGAATATTTTTACTTCCAGTATTTAAAAAAAAAAAAAAAAAAAAAAAAGACATTTGCAAACATTTTAAAATAACTCTTCTATACAATCAGGTCAGTGATCTGAATTACAAAACACCCCTGGATAATCATGTTCTTGATGCACATTTCTTTTCTTTCCTTTTTTTTTTTTTTTTTTTTTTTTGAGACGGAGTCTCACTCTTTCAGGTTGGAGGGCAGTAGCACTATCTTGGCTCACTGCAACCTCTGCCACCTGGATCCAAGCGATTCTCCTGCCTCAGCCCCCTGAGTAGCTGGGATTACAGGCGCGCACCACCACACCCAGCTAATTTTTATATTTTTAGTAGAAACAGGGTTTCGCCATGTTGGTCAGGCTGGCTTGATGCACATTTCTTATAGGTACATTTGGAAATTGCTTCCTAACCACAATAAACACTGTGTACAGGTTTTTAAAATGTCCCTGGATACATATTAAGTTTTTGAAATCAATCTGGCCCAACTTGCCAGTTATTGCTAGATCCAATAATCCTGAGAGCTCAAACTAAAAAACTGGTAAAAAGAAAAATACTACAAATGTAATTTTAAACAGGCAGAACATTTTTTTCTTTTTAAAAGATAGAGGTGTCTAATTAGACAGGTGTTTGGCTACCTTGGCAGCTCAATTTAAAAACCGGTTGATATACTGTAAAATAAGATGTTTCAGTGTAGCTCCAAAAACCTTTATAAATACAGCCATTTGGAAGGACGATCCTGGATCAAAAATTATTCCTTGTGCATCTGAGAACAGCAAGAGGGGAAGAATTATGATGTCGTGAAGGAAGAGGCTGACAACATGCGCACCTCCTAGAGCTGATAAAGATGCTCAGGGCTGGACAACAAGGACACCCCTTCATTTCCTCCGTCACACACAAGAGTAGAGAATCACAAGAGTAGAGAATCACACACAAGAGTAGAGAATCGTAAGAGATGGGTTTTCAGATCCCACCCCCTAGGAGACTAGCTCTGACATGCACCTGAGAGCAAGGCTGGCCCAGGAATGGTGTTTGGTAGGTTGGCTGAGGGAGGTATGAGGGCAGAAGAAATGTAGAGTAGTGTTGCCAGAAAAGGTGAGAGGGTCATGACAGAGTGTGACAAACAGGTTCATTCAATGCCAATATCCAAGTCTCACCTATATTATGTGCATGTCTCACTTCAGTTGTCATAATTGTCTCTGTAATTTCCTCCTGAGTAGCGGTCATAACCACCCTGGTTTCTGAAAGAAAAAAAAAAAAAAACCACACAGATTTGCAGGACTGCATTAAACACTATTGACATTAATTGTATGTGTCACATTTTATAGTATGTACCGTAACATAAACCTTAGATATCAAAAACAGTGTATGTTAAGCATATATCACATATGCTTAAAGTTTTACGGCATACAATTTATGTGAAGTATAATATTACATGTTAAAACAAGTTATATAACCAACACAGCACAACATATATACTTTACTATCTTGCAACTATATGACAATACAATTAACTCAAAATACTTAATACTCATTTTAAGCACACATTAGTAACAACAAGGTGTGGTATGTATGAACACCCAGGCACTGACTTAAGGAGAGGAAAGCAATAGCAAAAAACCCCAACCCCTTGGCTACCCACCTGCCATTATAGTCTCTGGAACTGGAACGTCCATATCCATATCCATACCCTCCAGGTCGACTGTCATAATACCTGCCACTCCCATAGCCCTGGTCCCCACCACCTACAGAAGAAAAAATATTTAAATGGCAGTTATCCACACATAGGCAATTCTCCCTCTCACCCCATGATCAAACTTATCACTTACTGCACTCACCTCTAGAGTAGCTGCGACCACGTCCATGGGCCCCAAAGGCACCTCCTCTAGTTCCCCGAGCAGACTTGCCTGCGTGATCCACACGGATCTGACGACCATCCAGGGACTACGTGTAGGAGACACAACAAGGATGGGTTGACAGTCCGTAAGGGCGGTGGTGAGGGAAGAGCAGGCATGGGCAAAGTGGGCAAAAGAGCCCAAAAATTCCTGCTGGGCAACAGGTTCTAGGTGCCACGTTCCAGAATAAGCTCCTTTACCCCAGAATGGATTCATCAGGAGCTACAGAATCCCACATAAAATAACCTGAAAGCACCGTGTTCCCTTTGCTACTACTTACATCTTGACTGAACTCAGGCTGAGTTCTCCCCACCCCTCTAAGCTGCCCCACTATCAGGGATAGACAGACACCTCTCTTGGTTTGAGGCTTCAGAGTCCATGTCAGAAGACTCACGAGGTCCTCTCCCGGCCAGGCCCACAGGTCTGCAGACTCTACTACCTAAGCCCAAGGCAGGTCAACCATCCACAGGTGGCTTCTCGGCCTCATGCAGGACCAGTCGTCGCCTCCCAGGCGGCCAGGCTCTGTATGCCGCTGCCCTCCACCCCCTAGAACAAAAGGCAGTCATGCTCCTGTGAGTGGGCACTGCGGGGCTTGGTGGCCACGCTGCCCCGAGCAGACAGAGGGGAAAAACAGAATGAAGGGAGCTGCAGATGGGGGCAAGGCCCCTCTGCAGATAGGATGCCCCACCTCTCCGTTCATGGCTCTCATGGCAACTGAAGCATGCTCTGGGTTGGTGAAGGTGATGAAACCAAAACCCCTGGACCGCTGAGTCTCCCGGTCCTTGACAACCACCACTATGAGGAAAAGAAAATGGAACAATGTGGACCAGTCAGCACCACAAAGGTTAAGTAGCAAAGGGTGGTCTGAAAAGGGAATGGCGGTAGGTAGGGAAAAGGGAGCCCTCCCACCAATTCCGAAGACGTATTCCTCAGCCTTACTCGACACCCTAAGTTTAGGGAGAAAAAGAATTTGGAGGCTTGGGGTTCTGCCTTTTTGCTTAATATACTTTGAAATGCAAGGGTCCCAGACTTTCTCACCAACCCCCATTGTCAATCTGGCCCGTCTCACCCTCAGAAATAGGCCCGAAGCTGCTAAAGTGGTCTTCCAGTGCCTGCTCATCGGTGTTAAAGTTGAGCCCCCCTACGAAAAGCTTTCCTTCTTCAGAAGACATGGCAGCGAGTTCAAATCCTGTAGGAAGAACATGAAGAATGGTGGCAGAAAGAAAAAATGGAGAAGTGAGAAAATAGCGAAAAATAAGGCAGAGAGAAGCACAGAAAATAGACAAGAAAGAGGAACAAAATACGGGTAACTAGAGAGAGGCTGAGAAAAGAGGCCAATTGCGGGGCTGACTCAGCGCCGCCACCATTAAGGAACCACTATCGCATCCTCACACATTCACAGCTGCCACACCCGTCATTTTGTGCCACTGCGCAGGCGCAGAGCATCCTTGCCTTCCCTCGACGCCGCCAGAAGATGGCGGCCGCCACGTGAGAAAAGGAAACAAAGTGTAAGCTGTCGCGTGGTTACTGACACCACCGACGCCACCAGGCCCTCCCGGTACGCCTCACACTCAAATACAGCGCGCCAGCCTTCCACCAACCGAAACGTTTCACCTACGGCGGCAGAAGAAGATGGCGGCCGCCACGTGAGAAAAGGAAACCAAGTGTAGGCTGTCGCGTGATTACTGACACCACCGACGCCACCGGGCCCTCCCGGTACGCCTCACACTCGAATACGCCGCGCCGGCCTTCCACCAACCGAAACGTTTCACCTCCGAGCACGGGACCCGCCCGCCCCAGAAAAAGCCAAGCCTACGTGTCACCGGCCTTTATTCTCCCTACTAGCTATCCCTGGTCTTGGGCGGCGCGGCGCACACGTGGCTAGGAGCCGCCGTTCCACAAGACATACGCAGCTTACCTGGAAATTAAAACGTGAGAATGCCGAACACACAGACAGGTCGGAAGAGCAGAGAAAACAGAGATGGAGCTGCGCGGGAAGACGACTGATAAAGCGTACGTAGCGATGACGTCACAGGACGTTCACCCTAAGCGTCCCGGCGTGCGTGCTGATTGGCTAAGGCCAGAAGGGGCGTGGTGGTGGGGAGAGGAAGGGACGGCAAAGCGAAGGGGGCAATACTCTCGGTGCGTTTCCGGAAATGGTGTCGACTTTTGCAAAACTGGTGCACCCCAAATGTCAGCATCCACCCCCAACAACCGGCTGAGCGTTTTCATCCCTTCCACACAGAAACCTTCTCACTCTTATACTACTTGCCGTCCCTGACATCGTCCTTCCGTCCTTACCATCATTTCCCCCGCTGGATCTGATGTCTTCCTCACCATCGCAGCTGTTTCCCTCTAGGTCCCTGCCATTCTCTGATGTCAACCTCCTTCACCTTATAATTTTTTTTTTTTTTTTTTTTTTTTTTTTGAGACAGAGTCTCGCTCTGTCGCCAGGCTGGAGTGCAGTGGCGCGATCTCGGCTCATTGCAACCTCCACCTCCCCATGCAATTCTCCTGCCTCAGCCTGTAGCTGGGACTACAGGCGCGCGGAACCACGCCTAGCTAATTTTGATGTTTTTAGTAGAGATGGGTTTCACCATGTTGGCCAGGATGGTCTCGATCCTTTGACCTCGTGATCCGCTCGCCTCAGCCTCCAAAGTACTGGGATTACAGGCGTGAGCCACCATGCCCGGCCCATCTTCTAGTTCCTTAACCTCATATCCTTCAAACGCCCAACATTGTATTCCCCCACCGTCACTGATGTCATTACCCTTCACAGTCCATCATGTCAGACCTTACGTTTTCAGGTTTGACCCTCTTACTTTTTCTTCTCTGTACTCAACATCTAGCCACCTGTCATGGGACCCTTTTCCCTGGCATCATTCTGTCTCATCTCTGACTTCAGCCCTCATCCTTGTCTGACTCCCCCGTGAAGCCAGCCCCTTAATTTTCCCACCAGTAGACTGCCTGAGATGCCTTTTACAAAACAGGATGCTAAGATCTTCAGAGATAAATCCTAATCCATAGAGCAATTTTTGCTCTCTTCGAAAGTAACTGAGACCTTGATTCACAGAAGGGACTTTTGCAATACACAATAGACTTATCCCAAGCAAGTTGTGTCTGAGCCCACTGCCCACAATTTGGTCTTCATTGTCTGGGCTACCTTTACAATAACCGGATTTGGCAGATTTTTCATTTCTGAGCGCCTCATCAACAAAGAATAGGTTAGTTTGCCCTCAGAGACTAAATTTCTTACCCATCCATAGAACGAATTTGCCCAACACAGACCAAATTTGCTAACATACAGAATACAATACATCCATATTCCTGTTGGGCCAATTCTCATATGTATCTTCCTGTGGATTGTTGGGGATTCCTCACGTAGTCTAATTATTAATCCCTTATGTGTTGGAAACAGACTCTCCAGCTCTGGCATTTGTGTTATTAACTTTGTAAACAGTAACCTTAGTTGAATAAAGATCCATAATTTTGATATAATCTTTGTTTTCCTTATGGTCTGTGCTTTTATATAAATCATTCTCTTCCCCCAGGTCACAAGATATTCTCCTATAGTTTCTTTTATTATTTACTTATTTATTTTTTTTAGTCTCTCTCTGTCGCTCAGGCTGGAGTGCAGTGGTACAATCTTGGAGCTGGAGCCTGCAGTGAGCTATGATCATGCCACTGCACTCCAGCCTGGGCGACAAAGTGAGACTCTGTTTCAAAACATTTTTTTAAAAAGTAATGGAAGTTTTATTGAGATTGCATTGAATTTATACATTTTGGGAGAAATAACATCTTACTAATATTAACTGTGGAGGTTTTAAGATATGCCCACACTCTGATACTGCACTCATCAAGAGTTGGAGCCTAAGTCCCTTCCATTTGCATGTGTGCTGGATTTAGTGACTCAGTTGTAAAGCACAGAATGAAGCATAAGTGATAGTATGTCATTTCCAAGACCAGGTTGTAAAAGGCACGTCTGCTTCCTGCTCTCTTCATGCAGATTGCTCACTTTGTGGGACATCAGCTGGTATGTCATGAGCAGCCCTATGGAGAGATCCAGGTGGCAAGAAACTAAGGCCTCTTGCCAACAGCCATGTGAGCAAGCCTTTTTTTTTTTTTTTTTTTTTTTTGGTCAAAGACGGGTTTCACCATATTGGTCAGGCTGGTCTCGAACTCCTGACCTCAGGTGATCCGACTGCGTCAGCCTCCCAAAGTAATCCAAAGGGATTACAGGTGTGAGCCACTGCGCCCAGCTGAACAAGCCTTCTTTTTTCTTTTTTTTTTTTTGAGACGGAGTTTCGCTCTTGTTACCCAGGCTGGAGTGCAATGGCGCGATCTCGGCTCACCGCAACCTCCGCCTCCTGGATTCAGGCAATTCTCCTGCCTCAGCCTCCTGAGCAGCTGGGACTACAGGCACGCGCCACCATGCCCAGCTAATTTTTTGTATTTTTTAGTAGAGACGGGGTTTCACCATGTCGACCAGGATGGTCTCGAACTCTCGACCTCGTGATCCACCAGCCTCGGCCTCCCAAAGTGCTGGGATTACAGGCTTGAGCCACCGCGCCCGGCTTTTTTTTTTTTTTTTTTTTGAGACGGAGTTTCGCTCTTGTTACCCAGGCTGGAGTGCAATGGCGCGATCTCGGCTCACCACAACCTCCGCCTCCTGGGTTCAAGCAATTCTCCTGCCTCAGCCTCCTGAGTAGCTGGGATTACAGGCACGCGCCACCATGCCCAGATAATTTTTTGTATTTTTAGTAGAGACGGGGTTTCACCATGTTGACCAGGATGGTCTCGATCTCTCGACCTCGTGATCCGCCCGCCTCGGCCTCCCAAAGTGCTGGGATTACAGGCTTGAGCCACCGCGCCCGGCCTGAACAAGCCTTCTTTAAAGGTGAATCGAAGCCTTCAGATAACTGCAATCCTGGCCAACATCCTGATTGCAGCCTCATGAGAGGCTCTGAGTCAGAACCACCCAGTTAAACCACTTTCAGAATCCTGACTCTCCAAAACTGTGTGAGATAATAAATATTCATTGTTTTAAGACACTAAGTTTTGGGATAATTTGCTAAAAATAACATATATTACCAAAATCTTTCCAGCAAAGAGCATAAAATGTCTCTCTTATTATTCAGATCATTGATTTCTATTGTTAGAGTTTAAATTCTTTTTTTTTTTTTTTTTTTTTTTTTTTTTAAGATGGAGTTTCACTCATCGCCCAGGCTGGAGTGCAATGGTGTGATCTTGGCTCACTGCTACCTCCACCTCCTGGGATCAAGCAATTCTCCTGTCTCAGGCTCCTGAGTATCTGGGATTACAGGCACATGCCACCACAACTGGCTAATTTTTTTTTTTTTTTTTTTTTTTGAGACGGAGTTTCGCTCTTGTTACCCAGGCTGGAGTGCAATGGCACGATCTCGGCTCACCGCAACCTCACCTCCTAGGTTCAGGCAATTCTCCTGCCTCAGCCTCCTGAGTAGCTGGGATTATAGGCACGCACCACCATGCCCAGCTAATTTTTTTTGTATTTTTTAGTAGAGACGGGGTTTCACCATG